AAATGTATATATATATATATATATATATACTCCACATTAGAGTATATGCAGATTATTTTTACTGTACTCTCTCAGATAAATCGGATCATAGTTGAACACTTGAGGAATAATATACCTTGAAGCATTATTACCATGAGAATTTACTTCAAACTCAGTTAGGTGTTAAATTTGGCAAGTTTCCTCGTAAGTTTAATTATAGTATTGTGAATTACTATCTAACTCATCCAGTTTATCACATAAAAAGGAATAGCAAATATGCCGTTCAATGCGTTCAAAAATATGAAAATAGTTTACGAATTTTAACAGTGTAGCTTTTAATAGTGTCTTTGTTTATTATTTATGAATTTATACCGATGTTATTAATTTTTGAAAAATACATATAAATTAATTCTTAAAGTGTAACTTTAGGAAGAATTAGAATATACAAATAAATTTGAAAAATTATTTGTTAATGTTTTTATTTTTTCTATGATGGTTCTTTCATTAGGAAACTATTGGCAAAAACTCAATACACCTACATATCCATTTAGATACGGATTATGCCAATAATAAATGGTGTCAAACAGTAGGTCAAACGGTTGATTAAGAGACAAGAAAGAAACTAACACCCAGCACGAAAAAATTAAGTAACTTTGCAAAACAACTGTGCATCGTGATATAGTACTTTTGTATAGTTACTTAAAAAAATACATAAAATAAGAAAGGGCACCGCTTTTTTCCTATTTATTATTTTTTAATTCTTTAAAGAGTCTCAACACTTTATATATTTATCTCTTTTTTATTTTCTTTTTTTAAGCTCTTTAAATTCACTTCTGATTTTCATCTCAAATCCCGCCTAATTTTTGGGATAGTAAATTGTTTTTAAAAAAGAAGTCAATATTTATAATAACTGAATAATATGTCATGTATCAAAGGAAGCGAATTTTTCATTCTCCTGCATTTCATTGGATCAAATATTTAAGGCAGGCAAGTAAATTTCATTTTCCAAAGTGTTGAGTTTTGAATTAACCTATATACGCTTATCTAATATAGCCACATAGTTAAATTGCGTAGGTTATCGTGCCTCGATCCAGCAACACTTAGTTACTTGAAATTAAGCGACGTCGTTTGATTTGCAATAATGCCTTTCGACATTCTTCAATTTAAAACAAAAAAATGCTTAGTTGCCCACTTTTTACTCATAAAACAAATGTTTCTGAAACATTGAAACCTTTTGACTACCTTATTTTGATTTATTATTATTATTATTATTATTGCAATAAACACTTTCTGATTAAGTTCTTCATTCTTTTAAGGTTTCTGTCACTAAATCTTTTTTTATACTACATCTGTTAGCATTTAAACAATTGTTCATATTTTTCATGAATGAGAATAGTGAAGTGCCAAAGTCTTTCATATTTTTCATGAATGAGAATAGTGAAATGCCAAAGTCTTAGACTAGCTAGTATCTTTAGAACAGAATTTTATGCCCGGTATAGCAATCCATTGAAAACATACAAAACATGAAGTAAACATGCTGAATTTATGAAAATAAAAATATATACATGTTTTTCAACGAAGGCATTCAAATGAGCATATTTTTCTTCTAACTAATTATAATTTAATATAATAGAATCAATAATAGTTGAATTTTTATAGCTCTGGAATAATTATGGATTTCAAATGTATGTCAAATATTAACAAGATAAGTCAATTATTATTATTATTTTTTTTTTTTTGAAAGAAAGAGTTAAATTGAAAGCCTTATAAATATGGTTAAAAAATGACTTAGGTATTTAATATTTATTTCAAGCACGGCACTTTACATTTAAGGTCATATAGTTTACTTTTTACCTAGATTTTATCTGCATTTGTTTGTTTTTTAATTTAATAGATAAATATTTTGTAACGATGCATTACAAGCTATTACATTCCATTACAAGCAATAGTATAATAATCTAAAAAATCTGTGCAACTTCTACAGAAAGACGAAAAAAAGGATTCATTCACTCTTCAGAAGATATCAGGGAATATTTTTTTTACAATTTTACAAATCATTCAGAGAATAATTTGTAAAATTGTGCTTCAACTATGATTTTGACTTCGATATTGCAAGCAAGCTACGCATCACGGAAAATTTGCAACTGCTCTTTTTTAACAAAGCTACCCCGAAAAAATTTGCTATTTACATGAAAAAGCGTTATCCAAATCCGTGCACCCGTTTTCGCGAGCTATTAGAGTACATCTATCCACGCATACCGACTAACAGACTTACAAATTTTATGAATATAGAAGATGTAAAATAAATTCTAATTTAAACGTGTGTGAGGGGAATAATAAATCAACTATGTCAACCTTCATCTATCAAAAGGTACCTCAAGATAGAATCAAGTTAACACGTCTTACATACTAATGAATTGGTATTCAATATTCATAGTGGTAGTTACGCCACATTACTCCCCTTCCAGAATTTTATTTGTGATAGAATTCGATGAATAAATACCATTAGTTGATTCATGCTGTTTTTTTATTTATTTATATCAATTTTGCTCATTATATTTTTTCTTCATTTAATTTATAGCAGCTCGCCCATTATTTTTTTTTCCCTCCATATTTTTTTTTTTTTTTTTTTTTTTTTTTTTNGACAGAATCTTCGTTCTTTTTTTTTTTTGTTTATAATATTTTTGCTTATTTTCTTTTTTTTTTTTATTCTTAATTTTTATTTATTGACCGGGAGACTTTATTTGCTTCATCGAATTTTTTTCTTTTTTTGAGCTGTACATTTTTTAAAGCAAATTGGTATTTAATATTTATAGTTGGTGTTACTTCACATGTGCTTGTTTACTTTCAAAAATGTTATTGCAAGAAAAATTTACAAAAAAAAATACAAAAAGGATTTATTTATTTTTGTGTTAAAGAATACAAAAATTAATAAATAATGATCTAAATATTAAATATTATCTGCTTTGACTTATATATTTGTAATACATACACCGTTTTAGAACTCAAGCTTTCCTAACCATTATTATCCGTTTTTTTTTTCTCGTTTTTTTTTTCTTCTTCCCTTTATCATCAGTTTTTCTTTTTCTTTTTTTTTTATTAAATAACGTTTTTATGAATTAAAATAAATGTTGTCACTAAATTTAAAGCATAATTATTGTATTCATTAACTGAGAAATATTAATGGAGTGGTTTATATGCATAGATGTTTAGAAGAATAATTATTCTTTAAAGTAATAATATATAAATAAAATGTTGTTTATATTGTTAATTAAAAAATTTCTCCTCAAGTAAATATTTTTTACGTCTATTTTAATACTTTCCTCCAACGAATACATTTTTATTTTTTAAATTATCACGTGGCTTGTTCTTCCACTTCCATTTGCTATGCTTCGAAAATGACCTTGTCTTTTCTCTACATGAAATTTACTCGCAAGACAGGTTATCAGATTAGAAGAGAATGTTTTCTTGAGTAGCAGAGATTTCTTCTAAAATTTATTTGCTTATATTTAGGACTTATTGCTTGAATTTTTTTATAGTTGTTTGCATATAAATAACAGAAACTATTGCTTTACAAATTTTGTCTTCTCTCCTAACGACAATAACTAAAATCGGCATAAAAGCAAGGCGTTAGCCTCTCTGTAAATAGTGTGATATTGTGAGTTTAAAAAGAATGAAAGTTTCTCCATCCCAGAAGATATGGTAAAATTATATCTATGGAAGCTACAAGCTAGTTTTATAGTTTGTCTGTGATTAGCTTATCATTGAATAACTTTTTCTCGCCGAAACAGGTCGCAGGAAACGTTATATATAAAAGTATCATTTAACGGTATGATTGCGCAACACGCGTCGTTATTTAAATTTGGTTTCACTTCTGAATTTAAGTAATATTAGAATATTCGGTTACTATTGACTTGTTAAAAAAGTAACGAATTTATATTTCATTGAAATTTGTGTAAACGGTCTTTTCTATTTAACTGAATATTTTGTCTTCATTTGTGAAGTTAACTAATGGAAATACTGTTTCGACTTAATTCCGATGTCTTATAAACACCAATATAGTTTTACGACTAATTCACGAGTAATTATCTACGACAATTTATAGTTTTAAATTAAAAAGGCATGGCTGTGAGACAGAATCTTCGTTCATTACATTTTCATAAAGTTTGTGGTGGTAGTATAAAACTATTAGAAAAGGATAAAGTTGCTCATCGAACTGATAGCTTCAATAATGGTCTCACATTTACGGATCGTCCAGTAATGGTCGATGAAGTTGTCTTCCTAAAAATCGTAGAAACAGCAAGAAATTGGAGTGGAGCATTTAGATTAGGATTCACTAAAAATGATCCTAAATCGATGAAGACTATTCCTCAACATTCATGTCCAGATTTTATTTCATTACCTGGTAACTGGGCGAAAGCTTTACCAGAATCTCTAAACAAGAAAGATTCTTTAATTTCCTTTTATGTGAACAGCCAAGGAGATGTTTACTATCAACATAATGATGGTAAAGAAACGTTACTCTTAGCTAAAGTTGACATTAAACATAAACTTTGGGGAGTTATTGATGTCTATGGCAACACTGTAAAAGTTAAACTGGTATCTAATCCTTTCAAAGAAGAATCATTATCCGATTTTGATTTAACTTTTCATGCTGTACATGGGGTGCATGTTCAATTAGATGATAGTAAAACAATTGCAACCAGGAAAAATGGCATGTCTAATGCTTATGTTTTTAGTGGCAAGCCAATGCATTTTGATGAAAAAGTAGTCATTAAAATCCTTACGCTTGATCCATGGATTAAAGGCCTATTTGAATACGGATTAACATCTAGTGATCCTTCTACTATAGAAGTTAATTCACTGCCAAAAAATGGTGCAGATCTGATAGATTTGCCATCAGACTATTGGGTCCTTAAAAGAGATACTTGCTGCTATGATCGTGATGATATTGTGACATTTATGCTGAAAACTGATGGTGTGTTTATAGTCACAAGAAATGCCAATGCCGTTTCGTCTAAGTTACATGTTGATACAAGCCGACCTTTGTGGTTGTTTTTTAAATTAAGTGGTGCCATTGTGAAAATATGTTTAATGGGGTCATCAGAAAAAGAGTATGCAGATCTTATAAAAGAATTTAACGAAATAACAACCTTTCCTGTAGAGAAAAAACCAAAGCGTAGAGTTTCAAGAGAATTAAGTATTGGTGAATGTGTTATTTGCTGTGATAATCTAGTTAACTGTACATTGTATCGTTGTGGTCATATGTGCATGTGCTATGAATGTGCTAACTTCATGCGAAATAAGAGTGATAATTGTCCAGTTTGTCGTACGAGTATTGAAGATGTTATTAGAGTTTATACCTAAATGGTGAAATTATTTTTGAATTTAGATTTATATACGAGAGCAAATTTATAAAAGTTTTTAACGTAATTTTTTTATATTGTAGAGTACTATAAAAATATTGTATTTAAATTGTTATTGCATATGCATTACTATTAACAGAATTCAATATATTTTTATTTAGTATTTTTATTATGTTATTAATAGTAATTCCTAAAATTAGCAAAAGATTTAGTTAAAAATGGATTTGATTGTAATGATATATGGATTGGATATAGGATTGCAAAAATTGAGGCATATTTCCAAATTCGGAGTCGAATTGAAAAGTTTAAGAGCATTTTAACGTAGCATTGTAAAAAATTGTAATGATTTATTTTATGAAAAACAGAAATATCAGAAGAAATGAGTTGGTCCTAATAAATATGTTATTTATGGTAAACTAGTTATACTTTGTATTGTGATCACGTGTTATGCGTAAAACCATCAATTGCCAAAAACTTGCCAACCTAGCTTAAAGGTTTTTCATAATTATGATATATTGATTTCTAGTGTATGTAATTGTGGGCTTACTATTGAATCTGTTTAAATCACATGGCACATATGTTTATATATTTAATGCTATTTCATACATAATTATAGTTAAAAGTTGGAATTCTATTTAATGGTTAAATTGTATTTGTTTCCTAATTTCGTTATGCTTTTAAGGCTAGAAATACATTAATGTAATTGAAATGCTCGACTCTTATTTACTAATTAATCTTGTATTACTCGATTTTTTAAACAATTCCAACGAATCATTATCAATGTATTTTTATCTTTGTATCTACAATTAAAAGTGCCTTTTTGAACCTATAAGCATTTAAAATATTTTTGTATTTTGGAAAACAAACTATAAATTTTTACTTCTAGAGATCATAAGAAGCAAATTCCTCCTTAAGTTTACACAACCGAAAAGAATAAAATGCTAATTAATTAAAGTTTAAGGTTTTTTTCAAATGTGATATTGTGAATTGTGTTCAGGGTTGGGGTTTTGGACGTCCTAAGCTGGTTTTGGACAGGACACATTGGTTTTACTGTCTTAAACTGGGTAAAACTGTCTTAAAATGTCCAAAACCTTGAACTTGGGTAAAAGGTAAAAATTCTATAGGTGTAACCATTGTACACATAATAATTACATGTATAAATAAATGTTTGATATTTTTTGTACAATTTACTACAACTTATTAAAATAATATAATATAATAGGAAAAGGTTTATAATTTTTGAAACTTCACAATTCATTGAACAACAAAAGTGAATACCTAATCCTTTAAATATAAATATGCTTTTAATACTGATAAATAATATTTTTGCGTAAGGATAAATATGGCAATATTAAAAAATAATAATTTTTCTTTAAAAGAAATACTAAATTTGTTCAAAAATTAACCTTTTATTTTTCACAATATTTTTTTTAAAAAATGTTATAATTTCTGCTTCACAGGATGATAAAAAAGACATCTATTTTTAAAAAAAATTGTTTTTAAATATAAATATATTAGTTTAAATTGAAAATACAAAATAACTGAAAAATGTATTAACAGTTTTGAAGGGCATAACATCAGTTTCAGTTACTGACACTGGTGATGTATCACCACTATGCTAAAAGAATTGAACATGAATGAAATAAAAGTATTCTTGAATAGTACTATAGATAAATAAACCTGTTTATGACGAACCAAGCACTTAATCCCTAATATTTTAACCTGTATGGCAAGGCCAAACTTCAGTTATATACTATTGAATGAGAGGACCAATTGAATTTGATTACTGATTAATCTTCCTTTGTTTAAATTGAAGAGTCAAACAATATTAATAAAACATTATACTTTTAAAACAAATATTCTCTAGTATATTTAATTATCAATATGTTATTAGTTCTATGTTTATTTTACCTCTTAAATATTGTTGAGATAAAATTGTGACATAATTTGAGTAAAAGGGTTTTGGACAGGGCGGTTTAAACCAGGATTTAAACCGTGGATTAATCCATTCTGTCCTAAACCTTGCCAACCCTGATTGTGTTGTATGTGTATTATGCTTATTTAATAACTATTATATTTTAAAATGTACCTATTGAGACACAAAAAAATTCATTGTATTCAGGGGTCTGTTTAGAAGAAATTTAGGTCCGTTAACGGATATTTTCATAAAAACGGACCCTTCACAAAATAAATTAACTTAAAAAGGGATCCTTCACAAAATAATTTATCATTTAATCGGACCCTTCACAAATTTTTTTATCTTCATTATTGCTTTGTTAATTGAATAAACCCTTCCCGAGGAGGGGGGCGAAAGACAGATGTAAACGAACTAAATTTTGTCTTCGGCAGAAGCTTCTTCCTTTATTCTTCTGAAATGAATATTCTGTGTCCCGCTGTATAAGCTAAATACCAAATATTTATATGTTGCATCGCTAATTTAGTAGCTACAATTGCTGTTAATTTTTTAAAATTTAATTTTTTTAATTATAATTTTACAGTGTTGAGCATAATCTTGTATGTCTTTACAATTTAAAAACTCCTTGAAAAAGTTTTTTTACAATAACGGACCCTATTTGCACAAATTCACAAAAGCGGATCTTGGTTGAGAGAATGTGACTTTAACTTTTATTTTATATTCACAAATTGCGAGTAATTTTTTAACAATTTTACAAAAACTGACCTTTCATAAAGTGTCTGGACAGACCCCTGGTAATAAAAGAATAAGTTAGCTATAGAACAAACTGTCATAGTTTTTAGAATTCTCGAAGTCTAACTGCCCATCTGAGAAATTCACCACCAAATTGATTTAGAGCCCTTCGTAAAAACAAAATGAAAAATAAACTTCTTAGGAAGTACTTCTGTACATTTACCAAACTTTATATTTAGTGGCGTTTTAATTAACATATGAAATAATTAAGCTTTAACTTTGATTTTTAAATACAATGGCTATGTTCATGGCGCTGGGCAAGCATTATTTCACAGGTGGAATTTCACAATATATTGATATTGTTTTGCTGTAAACAGTGTATTTTCATTTCAAATTTGACGGTGCTAATTTATGTTAGAATACTTATTAGATGTATTGTTTTGCTGTACCTTTGTAAGATATTCTCACCTTTTGTAAGATACTCTACCTTTTGTAAGATATTCTCACAAGAATTTGAGATACTAATTCACAATACAGTTGAAACTAATCCTATAACAAAACACAATATATAATATTTTTAGAATATCACAATTCAATTAATAGGAAAATTATCTATAAAAAATATATCTTAAATACTTATTTCCCGACCTGTGACTCTTATTACCGACAGTTTTAAATTATGCTTTTAAAGTATAGTACCTTTCACCGACCTATAACGGTCAGTAAAAATATTATTGCTAATTTATCAATGAAAATTTCATTGAATCTAAATTTTGTTAGTAATTATTGTTTATTACTAATTAATGGCTTAATTATTCATCAAATTTAAGGTATTTGTTGATGCAGCAAGATTAACTCTTAAACTATAAAAGAATGAGGAAAAACTCAATTAAATGTGAGGAAAAAAACTTGACTTAAATCCGAAAAAAAAAACTTGGTTGCTTTGGGTTATTTACAACCTTGAAATAATATATTTATTAGGTAGTTAAAATACATAGATTAAATAATTTACTCCAACTAATTAATAAGTGAAAATGAAAATAGATTATTCATGATAAAATCATGTAACCTATTTTGACATGAAAATGATGGTTACCCTGCACCACAAATTAAGCTACTACTTATAATTTTTATAAATGATAAGATTTTAGGATAAAATGGATACTTTTATTAATTTTTTTATAGTAACTGAGCTGATAGATTATTGATGAAAATAGTTTTATGGGTGTGTTGCAGGAATAGTCACTTAATGATTCATATAAGTGGAATTTAAAATTAAAAAAAATGAACTTGATATTTTTACTTGACTTCTTGACTTGTGTGTTGCAGGAATAGTCACTTAATGATTCATATAAGTGGAATTTAAAAAAAAAATTGAACTTGATATTTTTACTTGGCTTCTTGACTTGTGTGTTGCAGGAATAGTCACTTAATGATTCATATAAGTGGAATTTTAAAAAAAAAAATTGAACTTGATATTTTTACTTGGCTTCTTGACTTGTGTGGCAGGAATAGTCACTTAATGATTCATATAAGTGGAATTAAAAAAAAAAAAATGAACTTGATATTTTTACTTGACTTGAAAATGAATAAGTTAATTAAAGTGTATGAAAGTGTTTATTTCTTGATTACTTCAATTTGTATTTATTATAGCAGAAAATTTGTGATAAGCTTAATCTTTCTGTATATTTGTGATATCTGTATCATGCTATGGAAACAAAATTATTAGATATTTATACCTTTTCCTTTTTTTCGTAATATACTTGTTTTAAGGCCAATGTCAACTGTATAAACAAAAGTTTCACACAAGAAGAAAAAGTTAAATGGTTATAAAAGTTTCGTTCAAATAGTGGAAATAAATTTTGTTTTAACAAGTGGGAATACTTAAGGAAGAGGTGTTCCATGTTGCTAAAAATTGTGTATTAAATGCAACAATTTTTTTCGATTTTATACAATTATAATGAAACTACCAAATAATTTATCACTCAAATTCTAATGCTTAGTTTAGTAAGGAAAATGATGTAGACTTATTACATATCAATATTTTTCTTCTTTTTTATTTAATTTTTAAAAATAACTTAAGTTACCTGGTGTCAAAATAAAAATAAGTAATAAGTCCACAGAAATAATTTTTTAAATTTGATTCATGCTTGAAACATTGTGTGTCTCCTTGTGAAGTTTCTGTAACTCTTTGCTATATTATAATCAAAGGCTTTTTAATAAAATATATTTTTTCTTAACTTGCTTTGGAAATCATTTGGCAATTATTTATTCTGTGTATTTATACTGTTTGCAGCATTCTGCGTAGGAAACCTTATTACTTGTGTTTACCAACTTTTAAAATAAGTTTTCAACAGATGATTCATTTATCCGGAAATGAAAAACTAAAATGCAATGTTTTTCTGCTGTATTTGTGACCATTCCAACCGAGCTGCTTTAAGGGTGTCTGTATATTATGTTCTCGGTCTGCCTCATGTTTCTGTAAATGATATTTTAAGGGCATTGTATTAAAGTTTTTCTCAGTGAGCAGTGTCATCTGTTTATGGCTTTTTAAACCATTCATTTCCACATTCTTCTGTTTTTTCAAAGAAATTTTGAGACACCTGTTACATGAATGAAACCTTATTTAAGTATTGCAAATAAGAAAGGAATTTAAATCAAAACCATAATTTTAAGTAAAAATTCTTATAAAAATTTAGCTTAAGTATTGATTCTAAAAAATATTGATTTGTGCTGTTAAAAATATATCGAAGTGAAAAAAATTTATACTTTTGAATAAAATATTTTTTGTGTAAATTGTTGAACAAAAATATTTTAAGTTTTACATTGAAATTTGAAAGATAATTCTTTTAATTATTAAAAATTAAGTTTTCTGAAAACTAAATAGTGTAAGCTTACTGTAGAAGTTTGTTCTAGTTTTTCCTTAAATAATTTATTAAGAATTTGTGAGATATCTTTTATACATGTCGACAACTAAAAAACTGAACAAAATCTTAGAGACCATTTAAATTTTTTCAAAATATTTATCATGGGTGTAACAAATGCCAATTATTTTTTCAACTTTAGGCCAGGATAGTCTGGTTGATAGGACGTTAAACCCATGTCCAAGAGATTATGAGTTGGATCCCCGCTGGCCGAAGACTTCAGTGTAGTAAATGGTGACTGGTGCACTTTTAATCTGCCAGGTCGCAAAGTCCTCTATGATCCCATCAATGCAAATCAATACCTCTGGGTTTACTGAATTAGAGATTGATCATTCTCTGGTTCAGGTCTAAATTACAATCTGTAGATGGATGCATGATCGAACCACCCTATAAACGAGCTGTGATGTGTGGCTGAAGTCATATTCTTGGCCATAGATGGCTCCACTGAAGGACAAAAGATGCACCGTTTGCCTTAAATACACTTGGTTTCACCAAGCAGGTTTGCTGGTACCTGCAAGTGGTATTAGAAACTGCAACATATTTTTAACTTTCACTCAGACTTATAAAATAATATCAAACTTTAATTGTGGAAGAATTGTCAGGACATAAAAAAAAGGCTTAAGAGAGGATTTTTCTAAAGAAATCCACTGAATCTTGCTGGGTATCAATTTTGTGTCGCTGAAACTCTGTATTTAAAAATATTGACATATATGTATATATCAATGCAATTTGTTGTTACTAGACTAATAACATATAAATTCTTTTTTAGATATGGCAGTGCATTATTGCTAAAAAATCATTTAAGTCTTAATCTTTCTGGAATATATTTTTTATGCATTATTTAAGTAAAAAATATGTGTATTTTTTTATAGATATGGCAGTGAGTTATCGTTGGTGGAAAATTTCTGGCAAAATAATTATACACAAAGTCTTGCTTCATCTAACTTGAAAGATATGGGACAAAAAACCTACTGGTTAGGTAAGAAAATCATTTTTTTTTTCTTTTTTTAAAAAGTAGTGTTGAAAATATCCTTCATCTCTATATTTCTAGATAAAATGGAAAATTAATACATATCTTTTAATATTTATTTATGATAATTCTTTTGACGCAAAGATTATATGTTTAAAATGTTTTAAGTTATTAAAGTTTTCTTTAAACTGAAAATATTTTTCCAAGATTAAAAAAATAAATTCTTCAATAATTGGATATTTTACATTTAAGTTTAATTTTTGATTAAAATAATGTTTTACAGATGATTGATTTATAGAATGACTTTGAGTAGCACTACGTTTAAACCTGTCAATAGCTGTAATGAAAGGTGGATAAAATGTTATAAACTATTTTGCAAAGCATATGGAGGTTTTCTTTTCAAAGAAATTAAAATATTAAGGGAATTAAAATTGAAAGATTTCTTTAACGTTTTGTAATTATATTTAACTTATTTTTTCCTCCAAAATTGAAGTTAATAAGTTTTGCAGCTGCCTGACCCAGATAGACATGAAATTTTAAAATTTCGAAAAATATTAATACAATTAAAAAATTTGTCCTTGAAGCTTTGCTGAATTAGTGATTTTTTAGTTCAGATTTAACCACATTCAATTTTATGTTTTCATTTTTCTTAGAAATGAAAGTATAATTTTTGTCATAAGTTAATCAATATAGCAAGTCTTTAAGCTGGATACTCAAATGATGAACTACATATCAAATTGATTATGTATCATATGATGAATTGATTATGATACATATCAAATTGATTACAAATTAAAAACATTGAATAATCAAATAAAAGAGTAGGAATTGGATTCCTATTATTTATTGTATATGCACATATCTGACATGAGTGAATTAATATGTAAATTTATAAGCTTGATACTCAAGCAAAAAAACAGGATATCAATTGACAATAAATTTCCAATTTTGACTATTTAAGTAAAGGGTTTATTGTCATTGTGTTAGTGCATATGTTACTTTGAAAGACCAAAATTGTTGAATTCCGACCACTGCAAAACATCAAGGATATACCTAATATTGAATAACCAGGCTATTATTTCTATTGTCTGTATATGATGACAAGCTCATAAAATGGGTTTGAAATATGCTCAAAAACTGTTTATATCAGAATATCTTGGAAAAGTCTAATGGATTGTTGATTTCTTAAGTAAATCCTTGTTTTTTACTACTCTTTTATCAATGTATACTAATTGACAGCACTTATTGATATGCAAGACAAATAGTACTGTAGCAATTATTTTGGATATACACTGAGTGAATATGAAAATGTTAACTGACACTTGGAGAATTCAATATCTGCCTGAAATCAGCTTTTCACAACAATATAATACACACCAGGATATATATATATAATCAGAATGCATGCACCAAATAATAATATGGATGAGGTTTTTAATACAAATTTAAACCAGACAAATTTTAAGTTTTCACTGTTTCAGGTTTTTAAAGTTAAGGGTGTTTTGTACACATAAGGCATAAAAACTTTGTTTAGATATTTTGTTCTCTTCTACGCATTGATTATAAGTTTTGTTTGAAAACTGATTATAAAGTTAAATTTCGAAGAAAGTTATGATTAAATTCGAGGAAAGTTGAAGATTTCATGACAGGATGGTATTTTTTTGTTACAAATTTTTTCTCATATTATTTTGACATTTTCATTATCCCTCAAATCACATGTTTACTAATTTTTTGATGTACTTGTTGGTAGGTATTATCAGAAATTTAAGTATAAAATAAATTTTTTCATTCATTTTCCCCCCTCTTATTTGTTTATGGTTTATCAGTCTCACAATGCTCTTGACATTGTTAAGCTGGATGGGGAAAAAATACACCAATACAGTAACTTTAAAATGACCAAAGTGAAAAGCCCCAACTTCTTTAGGATAGAAAACTCCATCCATATCTAAAAAAATACAATATCATTTTTAATTCTAAAGTAGAAAATTATTATTTTTATCATGAAAAAGTTCATCGTTAAAAGTTTCATTATTATTTGACAGTTTTCTATAAATAAATAAAATATTAGTGCTGAATTAAATTTACCATATGAATTTGATGCTTTTATCTCGTATTGTTGAATTTTGCATTTATATTTTTATAGGTTTAATAACTGTTGATGATCTTTCAACAAATACATTAGAATCAGCAAGTGGTTCTTTCATATCACTATATATGGGCTTTTGGGCCACAGATCAACCGAGGCCGCAGGATGGCAGTTGTGTCCAAGCCATTGTTGATTCATCTTCGCAGTTTTGGAAATTAACAATGTGTGAAACCCTTTTACCTTTCATGTGCCAAATGGAAGCTTGTCCAACAGGTATGTTTGTTTTCAAAAATTTCAGGTGACAATATTGAATGAATGAATAAAATAATTTTATACTTTATTTTCTTTTAAATTTTTTACAAGAACATATTGAAATTATGGTATTTGTTTGTAGTATTGCAAGTCTCTATTACTTTTATATAAATGTCAAAGTATTATTAATTCTTATCTTTTTAATATTAATAAGGAGTGAAATATCAAAAAAATATACAAATTTCCAAATAATTCACAATTGTGCTCCCTATTATTTAACACGATATATTGAAAAACTTTCTCAAAATTTGAGCAAAAAGAGTGTTTATATATTTAGCTAATAATATATATATTTTGACCAATGACACCTATATCAAAATTTCTCTAAAATTATAGCTAAGTATAGTGAGTCAAATAATTAATCAAACTAACTATTGTGAAAAAACTTTCTAAACTGATTAGATCTTAAAAAAAGAAAATACCAAAGCCTTTTTGCTTAAAAAAACAGTACCCTTTTACTCCGGCTTTGCTTTAGTCTATGTATCTGAAAGTATACTCTATCCTGCTTTTGGTTAACTGGTTCCTATTTGTATTATATCAGTATTATTCATTATTTTTTACTTATTGGTAACTTTTGAAGAAATAGCCTGGTAAGAATGGAACTCTGACCTATAGACTGTTTACCTCACTGGTTAAAAACAAGGTTTTTTTTTTTTAAAAAAAAAAAATAATATATATATATATATATAATAAATAAATAAATACAAGAAAACACGAAGAAAGTTAAGAAAAACAATTAGTTTCATTGCCAAAATTATTTACTTAATAATTTCTTTGTTAATTTATATAATTTTTCCATGTGCAAATCCATTTCGAGCAAATCCGTGGTTAAAATTATTTACTAAAAATTCCTTTACTAAATAATTTCCTTTGTTAATCTATACAATTTTTCCATGTGCAAATCCATTTCGGGCAAATCCGTTGGTAAAATTGTTTGCTAAAAATTTCTTTATTTATTTATACAACTTTTCCATGTGCAAATCGATTTCGGGCAAATCCGTGGCTAAAATTACGTACTAAAATTTTTTTCTTTGTTAATTTTTCCATGTGGTAATCCATTTCGTGCAAATCCGTGGCTAAAATTATTTGCAGTAGGAACGACACTTTAAAACCCTCTTGTTACACTCAATTTGCGCTTTTGTTTTCATATTTTGTAATCTGGCAATCTTTCTGCGAAAACATTTTTAAATCATTCTTGAAAAATTTCCCGTCCATGTAAGTTGATCTGATTTCGCTACTCGCTTTATAGTTCATTTTTATGCTGTTTTTTCTTTTCTTTTATTTTATTTTCTGTTTTTACATGTTATTTTTACTTTTTGTGTTCTATTTTATTTGTAGTAATTTTTATAGAAAAATTTTTTGAGTGCTCCTCACACTATTGTATTAATATATTTTGCTTTGGTTTTATTGATACAATATCAGAAAGCACTCTGTTTTGCGGATATAATCGTGTGGGCTGATGAAAAGATTATATCTTTTTTCCGGTTTTTTAAATAAAATTTCATCCTTTTTTTTCTTCCTTTTTTTTAAAACTGTTGTTTGTTATTTTTTTACTTATTATCCCCCCCCCCTTTTTTTCATATGTCTATAATTTTTCTTTGTTTTATTCTTCATTTTGAACTATAACAAGCCACACAATAACAAGCCACATTTCTAAGACTTTAATGGTTGCTTCTGAAATATTTACAACAAAATATAGAAAGGCAATGTTGCAGGTAGCATTTAAATTGAAGCATATTATACAGATTTTGTAGAAATTATTGAGTTATGCAAGTATTGACTGAACATGACATCTTTAAGTTAAATTAACCATTTATTCAGTGTACTACAAAAAATAAACAAAATGGAACGACGATCGTAATATATATAAAAACAATAAAGAGCACGGGCTTCATAGGTGAAAGTTAAATTAGTAGTGCTGATGTGTTCCCAGATTTCCTAAATATGTAAATGCCAATGTTTTTTCTTTCTTATTAACACATCTACATCAATACTTTCCCTTGTTAAAAAGAAAAAAAACTAAACTACTAATTTCTAAGTAACACTTAAATGTTAAGAGTTCATAAGAGTCCCATCTTTTCACATAGCTTTAAAAGTCTTGGCTTAGGCAAGGGCTTCGTCAATATATCTGCAGTTTGCACCTCCGTTGAGATCTGCTGCACACTAATTTCTTCTTCTAAAACCTTTTCGCGAATGAAGAAATGTTTTATACTGATGTGTTTCGTTCTACGATGAAACTCGGGATTTTGAGCCAATCTGACAGCTGCACTATTATCAACAAAAATTGTTGGCACTTCTGTCAAGGAGGAAATTCCATTGAAGAGTCTTTTAAGCCAAATTAATTCTTTTGCGGCTTCATTTGCAGCAACTATCTCAGCCTCTGTGGTTGATATTGCAACCATAGTTTGACGCTGACTTAACCAAGATATAGCCCCACCTGCATGCAAAACTAAAACTCCACTCGTCGATCTTCCTGTCTTCAAGCAGCCTCCAAAGTCAGCATCACTAAAACATTCTAGAATTCCGGGTTTGTAGCCTGATTTATAAATAATACATTTTTGCTTGGAACTCGCAATGTATCGAAATACACGTTTTACTTTGATAAAATCTTCTTTGGCAGGATTTTCTAATTTACGTGACAAAACGCTAATAGCGTATGCCAAGTCAGGTCTAGTGCCCATCATAAGATACATTAATGCACCGACAGCTTCACGATAAGGAAATACTGTTTTATTTTCTTCTTCAGTAGTGCATGTTTCTTCCTCTTTCAAAATGGGTGTATGAACTGGCCTACAATTACTCATACCAAACCGCTGTAGTATCTTTGTGGC